CCGAGCGCGTCCTCCAAGTTGTGGATAAGGGAATGGCCGTCAACTCACGGCTAACCGTGAATAAGTTGGGCTTCGACCTTCCGAATAAGCAGTCGCGGACGATCAGCGGCAGCGCTTGAGGATGTGGTGGGTTTACCTCCTGGCAAGGATACTATGCACAAAACACTACACACATCTGTGGACAGCGCTGTGACGTGGCGAGTGTGGCCCGCCACTCAGTTTCAGTTTCAGTTTGAACAGCCATTATCCATGCACTATCGTGCGCCGGTCTCGGTTGCTGTCTTTTGGCCATTGCCCCTTGTCGAAATCTATTGATCGGCAAAGTTTTACAAAAGAGGCGAATGAAATGAAACAAATACTGACCACCGGCTCATCTGGAACATCACTGCTGCCTTGCAGTCCGTGCTTGGTTGCGCAAAGGCTAGAGTGCACCCCCGAACCAGACATACTCTGGACCAGGCGACCGAGTAGTACAATAGCCCACAAAACCAAAAATCATAAAATCTTCGATTCGTATATGTCTTCAGTGTACTATTTCTGCTCCTTGCGAAGAACATTCTCCCCAGCCCTCACACACCCCACCTTCAACTCCTTAACCCACACCCTCTCTCGGGTTCTTCAGATGATCGTGCTAACAGTAGCGCCTCAGATGGAAATTCTGCCGCTGTTCTCTCGTGTCGTACCTTAACTAGCATCCAAGTCTCACCGAATCCTCCACCAGCTGAAGCCCTTCTTCGCCATCGATGACTATTCAAAGATTTCAAAGATTCAAAGATTTATTACGGGAATAACTTACAAGCTTTTCTGGTCCCATAGGTTCGTGCGGTGGATTAAGAAACAGTCATACATACAAATCATTTTGTAAACTGTCACGTGATACTTGCTCTTCCCACTGCTTTACGCAGCTTCACTTATGTTGGAACGTAAGATGTGCTAGTGTTTCATCGAGCCTCAGTTTGAAAGACTCAATGCTTGGAGCACAGACGACGTAGGATGGTAGAGAGTTCCAGATCGAACATACTCTGACTGCGAATGCCTGACGCCGGCATTCCAAGCGGCATTTTGAGACCACTAGTTTAAATGGGTATCCTCTAAGATGAACGTTGGGTGATAATTTCAAAAGCGGGCGACACGGATGGCTTGGGTTTTGCATTATTTGGTATACCATAATCATACCTCCTCTGATGTGCCGGTAATGATTGGAATACAATCCCAGTGACTTCAGTCTCTCTACGTATGAAAACCGATTCAACCCCCTGACCATTTTTGTGGCCATCCTTTGTGGACGCTCCAGCATCTTGCAATCACGCTGTAGCCATGGATTCCAGGCCTGGATAGCGTATTCTGTGAGTGGTCGAATGTATGCTGATAGCAGGCGGGGGAATAAATCTGAATCAAACCGGCCAAACTAGCCACACTTATTGTGCGCACTTTGATGCGTATAGGACAATAGGCATGTTTAGCTCGTACGCACGAAACCTTAACCATCGATGTGTGTTGCATCCAAGAGACTCATATTCAAGACTCCAGCTCCACCATCCGATTGACATCCCCGTCAAACCCATCAGCGAAGTTTCACTTACGCCTCTCTGGGGACCCTGAGGCTGCGGCTTCCGGTCTCGCTGGTGTCGGTATGGCTCTCAGTGAGAGAGCTGAAGCCACGCCCCTGGACTGGATACCAGTCGACAATAGGTTGTGCGCAGTGAAACTCAGAGGTTCGTGCAAGATAAGCAGCTGTCGTCCCAATAGACGAAACCTGTTTGTCGTGTCGGCGCACGCCCTAACGGACTGCAGCCCAGAAGCAGTCAAAGATGAATTTCACCATAATCTACACGACCTCTTGCATAAAGCGAGTAGGGCTGATATTGGGAGTTTGGCAGAAGATATGAATGCTAGAGTAGGTCGCCTGACTTCGAGTGAGGCGCATATGGGAGGTCCTTTCGGACTAGATTCCTGTCGCTCGGAAAACGGTGAAGGGCTGTTCGCTTTGTGTTCCGACCACCACCACCCGGTGACCAAATTTAAAAAAGAAACGCTTTCCATCAATCAACTCAAACGCGTTCCGAGGGATTATATCCAAAGATGGGGCAAGTCTTTTCCTCGTATATTGCTAAGTAGATCTCTACGGTGCGCACCTTTTTCCGAGGGAGATAATGGGTGGAAAAAAGTACACGGTGGTCAAACTAAGATCTGACATGAAGATTATGAAAACACTGACCGGGGAAACTTGTTCGCATAGATCGCGTTAGGCTTGCTGAATGAGACCCATGAGTTTACAGTAACAGGTGGTTAGAAACATGATGATGTGATGCGTGTCGTAAACAATGGCATTTGTGCATCTATTCAGTGAGCTTGCAATTTCAGTCTTCATGAAGTGTCTACTTTCACCGTAATACTATTTTTTACATTCCAGGCTACGTTCGACTCCTTCATTCAAATGGGCAGGTAAGAGACAGCAATAAAAAGCACCGCCCGAAAGTGCATGGTTAATGGTTGTTGAAACTAAGCTGGAACTGAAACCTGTTCCAGCTCGCCAATAAATATCACTGTTTTAGTCAGAGGATGAAGTGATCAAAAGCTTATCTATTTTCGAATATTCCATCCCGATTGTCAATATGCAAACTCCAAACCATATTCACCTCTTTGACGTGTGTCAATTTCTAACGAGTCCGTTTGCGGTTTCCTGCGTTTCTCGTGGTCCGCTGAGGTGGTACACAGAACAGCGTTATTATTACTCAAATGTTCCTGTATCTTATTCTCCGCGGAAAAATCCTGACTAGTTCTGTATCGCGTTGAGAAATTTCCGCTGAAATTGTGAGTCCCCAAATAGGGGTTTCTCGCTGGGAAGTTGCGTAACACAACCTCATGGGATTGCTCCCACGACATGGGAGTGTAACCGCGAACACGATATATGTAGGCGGTGTTTTCCGGTTCGGAATTTGTGATTAGATTGTTCGGGGCATGTAATGTTCTTCCACCACCGCCACCAGCAACAGCAGCCGAAGCAGCGGCGGTATGACGAAGACCAATTTTAGTCTGCATGAAACCAATCACATTGGTCGAATCAGCACTGTTACATGATTTTGACGGTTTACCATACGGTGGAGGCCGTAGACTAGCCAAATTGTAAATGCCTGAGTTCCCTTTTCCTCTAGATTGAATTCGGCCGGCACTGGTTTGTCGACGGAAATTCCCATTCGATATGGTACTCAGTTTGTGTCCAACTGTATAAAACGGAGCTGCATTCTTCCGATTAGCCAATCCCAATTCAGGATCTAATTTGGACATCACTGGGACATTTTGTAACAACGCGTCCAGAGTGTCGGTTCGATTCGACTGTGCGGATTGATTGTCTTTCGGTTTCAGTGCAGAGTGGCCAGCTGACTGAAAGTGGATTGAAAGCAGAGGGAGTAGGCATCAGATTAGCTGTCCAAATGAGTAACTAGGTCATGAGAGCAATTCGTACAAAAGACACTTTGTTGCTGTACAAAAACCCCATGACCCCATTTTGGTTAATGTATGCACTGGTTCGCAAAGTCAAAGTTTTCCTATGGCAATAACTTACAAGCTCATGCTTTTCTCGTCCCGTAGGTTGGTGTTGCGATTAAAAGTCAGTGTTGCATACAACTGCACATGTAAAAATTTCATATGATACCGGCTTCTTCCACTGCTGTACGCAGCCACCGACCGAAAACAAATCATCCTTTCTCTTTCAGTGGGTGAAAAGCTACTGCAAGCCAAAGTACGTCTGAATAACATCACTGGTTTGACACTACTCCGTTAGACCGGAATATTTTAATGATAAGCCGACACACGAGAGTTGACAGGTTACACGAGTCGGTACTACGTGATTTGCTAGGTGTGGCACCTGATTGGACTACCTCGGAGCCAATCACGCTCAGCTGCGTGTGAACATACACACAGTCATGGGCACAACCTTATTGGTTCCTTTTCGATGACTGACTGAATCACTTCTGATTTTCTGCATGATCGAAGTCAAACCCTGCTGGCCGCTCAACTGAAAATGATGATGGGCTCAGAGAGTGAACAAANAAGGGCTTCCTGCACTGAACTGGTTCAACTGCACTAAATACGATTTGGCAGGGAACAGACAACCGCTATAGCGAAGTGTCTTCCTGCAACACGTTGTTCAGTTAGCCTGATCTGTTCTAATCTGTGTAAACCATCACAGCTCCTCAATCGCCATTAGAGAGACATTGTTGGCAACTACAGTTAAAATAACCATTCACCTGACACATCTGTCTTTTGGTTACTTATTTATTCGAACCGCGATGAAAAGTGTAGAAGCGATAAGTGAACTGATGGGAGAAAAACAGTAGACGTGCAGACTAAATGGGGACAGAACGTGAGCAGATACCTGAGCACCACTAATAAGGAGACCCAATCCTATCGCTCAGTGTTCCCACCGAAATTGTCCATGGCAGAGAGCCCACACAGAACGTGCTATTTCGTATTCTAGTCAACCGAAGTACCAGGGGAACAACACATTCACAGCTGGGATGAATCGCTTACACAAACAAAAATCCTCTGGTCGTGTTCATTATTGCGAGCATTGGAAGAAGATCACGAGTCTCGAGGGGCATTCTCGTAAGTCATCGCGTTACTGAAGCCCTTGGTAACAAATTCCAACTACAACAATGATTAAAACAATGATTAAATTTGAGTGATACTATGTCATTATGACAAACTTCGATGCAGACACTAGACAACCTCAGATAAGATAGCATTTACAAACTTGGCGAATTACAGATATATTTATTTCAGGTTTAGATCCAAATTAAAGGCCAAGTGACTTTCATCGGAACCCGATGCATGGGCATGGATATAGACAGAGTCACCCCACACCTCACAAAGTACATCTATATTTTCGCGGATTTTACTATACCCAATGTCAACCAAGTTTCATTCAATGATTCTGAAACCTCTCTTCTTTCACTTTCTTTGAACACTATTCACTCTCCCCTCCCCCCCCTCATGCATCTTTTAAGTTCACTAGACTACGTTCCACAGACTGTTTCCCTTCTCGGATTGCCTATAACTTCTTCTTTATGCTGGTTCCATTTCATAGATCAACTTGCTTCTTGTGCTGCGCGCAAGGTCAGCTTTTTATTCCGCGCCAGACTTTTTCCACTCCAGCTGATCTTCTTCTGCTGTACAAAGCTCAAATTCGCCTTGCTCTTGAATACTGCAATCATGTGTGGGTTGGGGCTTCGACTTCTCTTCCCTTTCTTGATCGTGTTTAACGAAAGGCCATCTGAATGGTAGATGATCTTTCCCTAAAATTCAGTCTGCGGTCACAGTCCATCGTTGGGCAGTTGCTTCTTTGTCCCTACTCTACCGCTACTACTTTGGTTTTTGTTCTTCGAAACCTGCCTCAGCAAGTCCTCTTCCTGCAAATTTTACCCGCCCATTCCGTACACAGGTATCTAGTTTCTGTTCCCAGATGTATTTCCTCCCCCCCTCGGAAGTACCAAGTTGTAGAACACTATTCCACTGTAATTCGCATTATGTGTAATAAAAAACAGCTTTCAATATGCAAGCATGATATTTGAAGATCTTTATATACATGTTGCATACATGTTGTATGAGTTCGATCGATAAAGCGTTTCTTTTCTTATTTCACTTGACTTGAACGCTTCTCTGTGTGTGTGTTTGTGTGTGTGTGCAAGCGCATATGGTAAAATGTAGAATGATACTCGTGATGAAGAGATCACCAGAACTTCAATCAAGATGAGAAGATTAGACACTGATAGTATTGTGAATCAACTTACTGCACGGGACATTGAAGATTGTCGTTTCATTCGTCCACCGGAAAAGGAACGATTTGTTGTTCCCAACAGATGTGAGCTCGATGTGAATGCTCCGTCCCGCCACCGGTCTTCTCCCTCAGTGTTCGAAAACACAGCATCTTAAAGATCGGGAAAATATGCAACCATTGGGGAATAAAAACCGGGGTTTTAGAAGTGAACTAGTTTTTTCATTCGGAAATGAGTGGTCTAAAATAAAAGTGGATACGAGTTCGACGGATATTTTGAAATGCCCCTTTGGACAGTATCTGGGAGGTTGGCGGTGAACCGCACCAAAAAAGATGACTTTGTTCATTCACGCTTAAGAGAACGCGGACCGACAACAAATCACGAGCGGCTTTAGGATACACAGAAGACAGTAAGTTGAGCCAAAGCGATACCGGGATCGGAAATCCCGATTACCGGATACTGAATACTTCAAGTCATAAAGCACAAATGTCAAGTCGATGACAGAATTATGATACTGGATTTTTATAGAGTAGTTAAGACTGGACAACAAAGCTTTCAACTGTTTCAAATTGCACGATAACTAAAAAAACAATAAACAGGTTCTATGCTTGCAGCACCGAACTCATTTGCCTTCCGGTCTGATCAATAAACTTCACTCACGTTGAAAAGGATTGGCTGAATGAATTGATTTCTTCGGTGGGGCATTTTTGGCCATTGTGGAGCACACTCCACGACTGTTCATCAGTAGTCGGTGCACTGCATCAATCAGACCGATACTGCGCATAAACCGTTCTCGTTGGCGTAGTCCTTNTAGTCCTTCAACACGTTCCATCTCCTCTTCCGCCACAATCGGTTGCGGAAGCCACAAATCATCCACATGATCGCCTTCTTTTCTCAATGTGGTATTCTCTTCGTTATTGTCTGTTGTAAATTGATTGGTCGAGCTCTGTGCGTGATCACCCCATGGATATTGGGTGGCTCGGGATTCTGTAGCTGGTCTGTCCGTTTTGATGGATTTCGCGTATGTGCTACCCGGGATGCGATTGGCCGCCGGCCGATTCGGATTCGATTTTGGGGGCAATTTACGCAGAGCCGGACTCTCCGGAGGCATCAAGGATTTTTGTTTGTTCTGATACATATCGAGCTTTTCGCGTTTCTGGCGAATTTCTTCACGCTGCTGTCTGGATGTGTTCGCGAAATAAAACAGGACAAATTTATCGAATGAACGGGGGAAATTGAAAAGCTTTAATATGACAACAAATGTCAAGCAACTGCACATGTTTGCAAGCATAGTTAATTAGAAGGGTCATCACGATTTTCCAATGACCTTTTCGACACCTAACACTTTACACGCTTTAAAACGGTTTGAAATCGTAATTCTGAGAAACTGGTCTACTCGCCCGATAGCTCTCTCTAGTTTGTAACTCGGAAATCATCTATGACCAATTGGTTCGCATAATGGACGAGTCGTTATGTTTTGGTTCCGTGTGTCACGAAGCACTTGCTCAAAACACGGAAGTGTGTATGGCTATAAGTTTGGGATGAACTGGACTTCAGTATAATTAGTCCCTCGTTTGCACTACACATCATTGTTCTGGTTTTCAACGTTTAGCCACCTGATTGCTGCATTGGAGACATCGATTTAAGTGTCCAGCATAGTAAACTTAATTCGACGGAAGGCATTCGACAGAGGCAGGCACATCATGCTTCCCTTCTGTGATCTCGGACCAAATAAACCAATTGGCTGTCACTGTCAACATGTGGACAAATTTGAATTGGTGATTTTAGTCAGCCTGCGTGATCTGATCGGTACATTGTTAATACACACACACACACACACACACACACACACACACACACACACACACACATACACCTTCACTGATTCAATTCCGAGTTGAGCTAATGGATATGTACTGCTGACGAGCTAGCTGCATCAAGAAAACGAAACTGGAGTCTAGCTATTCCTGAGTAATGAGTGGAATACCCGGATGAGCTCACGGTTGAGTGGAGGTACAATCTGGACATGAAAGATTTATCCATCTAGGTCGTTTCAGGAATTTAATCCGAGCGAGAACAAGCATTATCATCATGGAACAGATTGAATTCAACTGTTTCGCATTATCTCTGTCTCCAGCTGTGTACACAGGCGTGTAAGTTCGACCAGAGCAATGCTAAAGGTCTCCAGTGACACTTGGGTTGGGCAGGGGGGAAGGAATGGGAGAACATGCTTATTGATCGTAAACAATGGCAGTCCTACCATGCACAGCCCGGGCTAGCCACAAAGTCTATTGATTTTGCCTAGTCG